CGTTTGAACCCGTTGCCTCCAAAAGATCATAGCGACCTCACGAAGCAGCATTCTTTGACTAGCCGCCAACCAGGGACTTATAAATAGTTCCCTGTAATACATACGTCTGCCTTAAACCAAAACTCAGCATTATGTCCATCATAATGTGACTAAATAAGTACTGGATGCACATACCACACCCACAACACACATAAGCACACACACTACACGAGAGGCAGATATACAAGGCCCGACAATTGAGTAATGAAACTGATTTTATTATGGCCAGGACAAAAATACCATATATGAAGAAAAGCATGAATCTAAAAAGGCAATATTCATTTATGTTCTGGCAACTTTTCATCGCCGCTTGATAGGCAGACAACAAACAAGCCGTCATTTTGTTGACCTAGTCAGAGGTGCATTGTTACGTAATGAGCACAGAGCAAAAAGCTAACATTAAATTCTAATTAAAAATTGAATTTTAAATTTGTTATCTCGTGCACATATTTGTAGTTGGTATTCACTATTCAAAAGTGGTGTAGAAATGATTACTAATACACCTAGACATGGACGCCAAATTTCTGTGCGTAATGATGAACTCATTGCAAAAGTCAGAGAACGGATATAGGAAGATGATTGTTTTACTGTAAGGATGATGGCAGATCAATCTGGTGGTAATAGAGAGACCAGTGCAGGATTTTGGAAGGAAGAAAAGTTGCTTGCCGGTTTGTACCACATTCGCTGCCTGATAATCAAAAATATCAACGGGTTAAGAAACCTAAAAGACATCATCAAAACAATAACTTGTTGGCCCAAAAACATAAGCATGTTCTCAGCCTTTCACATGATTCTCCAGATTTGTCTCCCTGAGATTATTTTCAATGATGGTTATTTAACGATATTGATGACATCCGTAGGGCCTTAACATCGACTTTAGGGGCCATAACAACAGAAGAACTGCAGAGGTCGTTCCATTGTTCATTAGGTAGTGCCACTTGCTGTATCAATGCACAAGGGGTTTACTTTGAATCAGATACAGGTTTTATCTTCAACTGTTGATTATTTTTAGTTTGATGAAATTAGTCTCATTACTTAATTGTCGGATCTTGTACATCGACAGAGAGACAGGCTGGGCAGGAAGAGAGAGAGAAAGAGAGAGAGAGAGAGAGAGAGAGAGAGAGAGAGAGAGAGAGAGAGAGAGAGAGAGAGAGAGAGAGATGGTAATTGATATTACACGTATTTTATTATAAACAAATAAATACATTTTTTTAAACGCGCAGCATCAGCGTATTCCAACCGTTCACTGAATTTACGGAAGTGAATCTCGGAAGTTGGTAGATTAGTAAAATTTTCTTTTTTAGCTGCGGTGATGTGGTTTTATAGACGAATAATGTGAATACACTTGATAGATAAAAAGAGAAATGAAGACGTCTTGAAAAAAACTGACTCATGAAGAGAACTGGTTGCGCACATCATAAAAAGACAATCTACATTCTTTGATCATGTGATGTGAAGGAGAGCACTGGAGTTCATCTTGACAGGAGAGAAGTTGGAGGAAAAGAGATGCAGAAGGCGACCGAGAGACAGGATGCTGGATGGTTTGACATGGAGGATCATTTGTATCAGAGCTGACTGAAAATACACTAGACAGAATGTTATGGATAGATTTCTTATTCTTCTTTCGTTCTCCTGAAATTGGTTGTCTATATCAGAAATTGTGTCTCGTGTAAAAATGTCACCTTCGTTGTTAGTTCATACAGTGGTTCATAGAGTTTATGTTCCCCTGTTGTTCTTTCTGGCCAAAACGTTTGCCCTAATGTCTCAAATTCGGTGCAGTCCCGGCGTACATGCTCTGCTGTCTGGGGAAGCTTCTCCACAGGTGCACATGGCTGATGGATAGATATAATTACTAACGCCACATGACATTGACTGAAGAATAATTAGTAGTAGTAGATTTTTGCCCCACTAGGACATTACAAAAATAATAAACATCCAATGACACAAAGTGCCACCATGTGAATGAGGATCACCGTGGAGAGGTCCCAGAAACCGCGTTAAGCCATTAGATCATATTTATGGTCGTGCTGTATTGCGGCCCCCGGCAAGAGCCAGAGTAGGGCCTCAAATAACTAAAAATTGCATCTCACACGGAGGTGACTGGATATTATCATTCAGAAGAAGAAGAATTGGACAGACGTTTAGACGAATGTAGCCTTTAGAGAAAGAGATGTTAAAATATTTTCTTTTCCGCTGGTTAATTGTGTATTCCGATAGCCTTTGTTTGGGTGGGGACAATCAGCCTGACACAAGAAGGTAAGTTGCCATCATCATCATGCGTCCTTCCAAAAGGCAGTTATTGTTCAACATCCCGTATGATCAACCGAGAACAGGTCAGATTTACAAATTACCCCAATACGTTAAAATCGGCACTCCAAGGGACATAAATGTTGTATATATACAAACTATACTTCCATGGGACATAGCCAATCTTGCATCCCTATATTAGATCCAACAATGGTCAATATCAACCCCACTGTCTTTACTTACTAGAACTTCATCAATTTAAGGATCGACCCCGGAGCTAAGGTCAGGCTTAAAAACAAATAAACCTTGATAACATGATTGGATTGGATTGGCCTTTTACCCCACCAGGACATCACACAAGCGATAAACACCCGATGACACAAAGTGCCACCATGCGGATGAGGATCACCGTGGCTTTCAAATAAAAAAAAATTAGAGGATTGTAATGTTTAATTGTTTGTATCTAATGTAGATATTGAATTATGATAGAGCATTCTCAAAATAACCTACGTAACAGTGCGCTCAGTATTATAAAATAACGTATATACTTGCTCTTAAATATAGTACTGCATTGCTAGAAAATTATGACTGTTTTGATTTAAATGCCACGCAAACCCACGTGAATTCAAACTGAATGTATCTGTCGATTTTTAATTAAAAATTGTTTGTTTAGAACAATTATTTACAATTAGCCACTGTTCTCTGACTTTACGTTTCCCGAGTCTAAAATCCATAAATGCTGAATCTTTTTTACTCATGTCATTGTATATGTCTAGTGTCCGGTAATTATCGCTACGTAAATCTATTTATTATTTGTTCAGGAAACAATGTTTTAGGTAACCCCCGTCTTCCCTGTGTTTTACCCTCATTATATTTACGTTTATATACACTATTTTTGCTTACTAAATTATTAACATGGTTCAGACTGTATTTTACAATGACAAGACATTTCATCTAACTTTACATTTTGAGTATTATGTATTGGGTAAATGTAAACAGTTATGCCTTCTATTATTTAGAAAACAAAAAACACACACACACACACACACACACACACACACACACACACACACACACACACACACACACACCAACAAATTTAAAAAAAAAACAATAGAAAAAAAAATTAAAAAAAAATATTGAAATTAAAAAGTATGTTTGATAGGCCAACATTTTTTTTTTTTTTTTCATTCCATTAAAATAACCGAATAGTCATTAAACTGGTAGCCGAGGTGAGTCAGATTCGTTGTTGCATTACGTGTTCAGACATAGCAAGATCAGTCATACGCCCTTTCAAACATGCTTATGTCTCAGAGAAGAGAAGCTATGGGTTCTTTAAAACTTGTTCCTCGTCGATCGGGAACATTATAAGTAACGTTTATCAATTTTTCTTTTCTATTCTTGTAAATATTACCATGGTGAACGGTTTGTTTATCTACACTTCAGTATCTACAACTTACACTCAGAATTGTTTTTCTCAATATATCCGACAAAGCAACATTTCTTATTCAAAGAGAATGTGTTATATAACAACCCCGAACTCTAAAGCATTTATTGTTTATATCAAGCAGCAGCTGACCGAAAGGCTAAGCACACACGGTTATGGTGCCGAACACAAGAGTTAGAATTTTCGGTAAGGCAGGTTTTTTTTTTTTTTTTTCAAGGACAAAAACAACATTCTATCCTGCACAGTTGGTTCCGACAGCAATAGCCATGACGCCCTAATTCCTCACGTTCAAGGACCCCAAATCCCCCTCCACTCACACAGCGAAAGTGGTAAATAAAGGGATAATTGAAAGCTTTACATGTTTTAAAATTTGATTTACATAAATAAAATGCTTTAGCGGATACGAACTCGGTTCTTGGCACATCGACGACATGTGAACCCTTATATCCGTTTTTGCCAACTCCCGGGCCCACACTGATACATTTTAACTTTATCATAGTTGTCATGGCAATACCTTGCGAAAAAAAAAAACAATATGTACTTAGAATCCTAAAATTTTAAAAACAAACATAGGTATTCAACAATAGATGATGGATCCATGACCTTTAATTCTACTTAGAGGTACAGGTCAAGTTTATTTACTTTAAACATGTTTTTAAATATTTTTCGTAGAATTTTAAATTGTATATTTATTGAAAAAGTCAAAAAAATCTAGCATCATAAGACAATAATCAAATTTTGGAAAACAAAAACGTTTTGAAATCTACTTTTAGATAGACCAGTCCTTATAATATTGTTTATGGAGTACGCATACACAATTTCATATTTCTAATCTTTCAATTAGCTTAGATTTTAGGATTTCACACACACAGCAAACTGAAATATAGAGATTTGAGAAAACTGACTTTTAAACTTTTTTTTATCTTAAAAAAGTGCACGAGGTGGTGTCGTTAGTATTAACTTTTCAATGCTAAACTGTTTACAAATGACATAAATTTTGTGTGTCATCTATTCTACGAATGCCGAACTTTACAAAAACGAACACATTGAAAAAGTGATATTTTTGTCATAAATTGGGGAAAATGCCGTGTAGTGACCCCTTAATTGCTTATATTGTTATCACCTACAGATGTGTGACCTACAGTCAAAACAACATTTGTTTCTTTTTATAAATACGCAGACATGCAATCATTCAACGTTTTCAAGGTTTCTAATATTTGAATTAGTTAGGACAGAAGCTTGCTTACGTTTCTCTGGAATTGGCAACATGGAAGTGGTATTCAGCAATGAAACAACATTAATCCTACAAAGGATTCTTTACAACGTGTGTCAGGCAATTGATTTGCTTGGTATCGTTACTAACATTATTAATATTGTATGTTTTGCCAAGCAAGGATTTAAGGAAACTACGAACATTAGTTTGCTAGGTACAATTGTGTTCACTTTGTTATTGATGTTTGGCATAATGTGTTACAGTTATTTTACATCTTTGCGTTCGCTTTCGTGTGCTCAGGTAGGCTGCCTCTAGGAATTTACATGTTAATTGCAGGTCCTAAAGCTTGCTCTGAGCATTTTGTTCTCCAGGCCTGGTTTCTCTTCGTCGTTGTAAGCATAGAGAGCAGACCTGCAGAATGTGCTCTGGTGTTTGTGATCCCATCTGACATGCACACTGTGGAAAATGTGCATATTACTTTTTTTTTTAAATGAATATTATAGATGAGTTTGTATTTTTTAATTTTTTTTTTTAAATCTTAGACAGAAAATTGGTGTATGATGTTTTCTTGTGAGTTCTTTGAACGGGTGATAAGGATGTCTACTGTTGGTTTGTTCTCGTTCTTGTATTTTCTCTTGATAAGTGATTTCACATCCTATAATGACAGTGAAAGGGTGTCTTGTTTCTCGATTATTGTATTTTTGCAGATCTGTCCGCAAACTATGCCAACATAGGTCGGGATTCATTGCAATACATTTTGATTTGTGTGTGTGTGTGTGTGTGTGTGTGTATGTGTGTATGTGTGTGTATGTGTGTGTGTGTCGAGTTTATTTATCTGGTAACTCAGCTCTCTTTCCATATTGCTTCATGGATCTCTTTGAGTCACATCTAGGACTGATATGGAGTCACACAGGAAAACAATCTTCCAGTCTTTCCTTTTTCTTTCCTGGAGCAGGATTTTTGCACCAATAATTGCTTGCTGATCCGCTATGAAGTTTGTTTAGAGTTTTATAAAGGCATCTGCCATTTTCCACTGTAGTCCCATCTTGAAGTATGATGTCAGAACCTATCACTTCGGCTTTTTTCTGCTCCCTCCAATGATCCATCAGAGAGAGAGAGAGAGAGAGAGAGAGAGAGAGAGAGAGAGAGAGAGAGAGAGAGAGCTATATTGTTATTGATTTGGAGTTGTCCTGTGCTTTATCGTTAACAAATCCATAAATTCATCATAATTAGCAATACGCATTCGCGTTGGCGATCATGGTTCTCTATATCACTCGATAACAAGAATAACGAATGTGTTTCTTGAGGAGCGGCAAACCGAACGGCTATGACTGTAAGCTCACAAGTAAAACACCTGCCTTCGAATCCTTGATAAGGTTGTGTACGTGTTTTATTGATTTCGATTGCAAATGCTAGTCGACTGAGAAATTGCAATGCTACTATTAAAAGATTAGAGTTAACATTTGAAAATAACACAGCTGACCAAGAAAAAAACAGCCAGAATGACATACCCAAATAATATTACGTCCCTACTGTTCAGAGTTTGTGATAGACCTACAAACATGTAGACAGACCAGCATAAGACATGTATGTTTCATAATATAGATCTACCAATCAAGCCCGTATTTCAATATCATACATGATTTTATGGTTGGTATCATATGATTAAAGCCACGTCAGTGGCTTAGACGTTGCGAGTCCGACTTGTAATTCCAGCGTACCGCGATCGAAACCCACTGCTGGCTGCGTGGACTTTTATCATGGTATGGGGCGTCGCAGGTCGACCCAGCATAAAATGGGTACCATGATTGCTGTCCTGGGGAAGTAAAGACGGCCGGCGTAATGCTGACCACATTACCCGCCTAGTGCCGATGTTCTGAAAAAATATACCCATATACCCGATGGCGTGAAAACGCAAACGAAGTCTTGTCGGCCAGCATATGACTGGCACTATTAACCACGCGAAGCTGATAAATATGTTGAAATGAAAATCAGAGCACCGGAGTGCTGTGAAGATAAACAACTCACAACTCATATGGGCACACGCAATGAGGATAGACAGATGAGCTATACACCTGATATTCATTATGAGAATTATTTTTAAATTACATTGTACAGTTTATATCTTCAGAAGTGATAGAACCCCATGAGAGAAATGAAATTGCTATGGCACTTCATTTAGCCAAATAAAACAATGTTTCAAAAACAACGTTTGAAGGATTAAAACCAGCATTCATTTATGGATGAACTTGCGACATGTCTAACAAACCGGCAGAGGATTTAAACGTTCATCACTAAAGGCAATAGGAGTGGTTTGTAAGGTCAGAAAATTTATCAAAAGGAAAAAAAATGTCCAGCAGTACAATGTCTCAAATTAACTGACCATAATTTTTGAACACCTTGCTATCCAAATAGTGATTACAATATATATATATATATATATATATATATATATATATATATATATATATATATATATATATATATATATATATATATACACATTATAAATGCAGGTGTCATGCCAGCCTTGTGCTGTCAGTGTCTGGCTTAGACACTGACTAAAAAACAAGAACTCACCGCTTTACGAAATGAGATTTTTGAGAAAGGCTGTGAACAGAACTATATAAAAATATAAAAATTAAACGAGACCAGGAAGAAAGAAAGAAATTGCAAGAACTATTGCAACAACACCGGTAAAAACAAAATTAGTGAAAAAAACAACAAAAAAACTGAAATGGCCTTGACTATTCAATGAGAATGAATATGATGATGCCATCAACGAGAGCGTCATCGTGAAAGTATAAACACCAAGAGGTAGGAGACAATTGAGAAGAAGATGGATTAAATGAGTCTTGATACCTTGAGACGCCAGAACATCGCAGCATACCGGGTAAACCTAACTTGGAAACCGTTCACAAGTTAATTTGCCACGCCTTGCGGCATCAAGCAGCAAATTGACACACGAAAGATCACAAACAACAGTCTGGGGTTAGAAATACATGTCTTGTTTATAAACACTGAAATTATTAAACGTATTACATAACGACTTGAAATGTTGTTCGTTTGTTCGTCCATTACAAGTCATGAGGACCACTCTTTCGTTCATCCGTCATGAAACTGCTGTTGCTTGTAAGCCCGGAGATGACTTATAATATACGTGCCTGGAAGAGTCTGGGATAATGAGGACAGGGCACAGTGTTTTGTAGAGAAAGGTTCTGTTTGAAGGCTGAAATGTATAAAACAGTGGCGCAAGATGAATTACATTAAGATGAGTAAGAGTTGCGCAATTTCGTCGACCTCACTCTCTCGCCTGTATCCAACTGAATCCAGTGGCAGGACAAGTCGAGACGGCTGGAGATGAAGTCAGGTGCAAATGATGACCAGGTTGTTCTACGTCCTCTTTGCGCTCGACAGCGCGTTGCTGGTCCCCCCCCCCCTCCCCCAACCACCCCCTCCTTTCCCCAATCAGGTCCGTTGAACAGAATATAAAATTATTTTTAGTCAGGATATTTAGTTAGGAAAGAAAGTATCGATACACTTAAGTCTTTCAAATTAATTTAAAACAATGCATGTATACATTATACTATACGTTTAAAGTATCGTCATATTCAAGGTTCCTTATCTTTCTAAAGGTCTCGCAATTTCTGACCTCGGATGTCTGCTAACGCTAATATGGACCAATATAGGCATGACTCCAGAGTTTAGTTCTTCAGATCTGCCCTTTGACGCCCTGGAGGTGCAGTATCTCACGGGGGCAATGCCTCACTCTACATTTGTCCGAATTACAGCGTGGATCACAGCTTTGATTACGCTCGAACGATGTCTTTGCATAGCAGCGCCTTTAAAGGTTAGTTGTGTTACATAACTGTATAAAAATTAGTTTCGTATCCCTTTACCGAACTTTGCAGAAAAAACCCCGGAAATTGTTTAGTTGTTGTGGTTTTTTAGGCACATGTACGTCTAGTAGTGCCGGCATAGCCTGGAGAAAAAATTCAAAGTATGCTCACCACCAGTGACCTTTCCAGTGAAGCTTGCCACTCTGCTTGAAGCATGCCTGTCCTCACCTTTCTCAGCATGCTTTCAGAGTCTGTTACAATTACGACATGTGTATGCATCTTGTTCTCTAGCCACCGGAGAGCTGCAGTTACCGCCTCCACCTCCATTCTCATGCTAGATGTTGTGGGTAACAAACGCTATATCACCAGGTCTCACTGTCATTCTAGTTGACCTGCCGTCGTTTGCATATCATAATAATAATTCATACTGACACATAGTGGGCATATGCACACACACACATTTAGACACATACACACAGACACACACGCAGACACACCCACAGACACACACAGAAGCATTTATTCGCAGGCACATACACAGAGACATACACACGCAGATACACTTGCAGACACACACTCTTGCAGACACACACAGAGACTCACACACACACACACACACACACACACACACACACACACACACACACACACTCGCAGTTAAGCACAAACAGACTACCAGCAGCTATACACAGAACTGATGCAATTACCCATACACACACTCATACGTACTCATCATAATCATACGTATACAAACAAGCCTACACGTAAATACATAAAACACATATGCATCACACACACATACACACACGCGCGTAAGCCAGCAAACATGCATATCATATACACCTTGTTTAATAATAAATTAATAATGCAATATGGATTATTAACTGCTTTCAAGGTTTGTAAGCATCAACTCGTTCAGTCAACGCCGACCCATTTTTGAGAAGCTCCTCTACAGCAACGACATTGTTGTCCTACAGGAAACACACCTCGGTGACGAGATCGTTAAAATTGCGGGCTTCTAATCCTTCTACAATAGACGGCACCTCGGACAGCTCATTCTTGTTCGTGACCACATACCGGTGTCTGAGGTGGACATGTCTGAGTGGAATAATGACGACTTACAAGTACACGCAGTCAGAGTGATGGGCCCGGCCCAGTTTGTGATTGTCAATGTTTACGCCTGCAATGGAAAGGTGGATACAGCGAAATGGCAGAGTTTGCTCCAGACGGAGGAAAAGAAAGTCCTTTACTGCGGAGATTTCAACGCTAGAGGAAACCAGTGGGGCAATTTAATCACTAATAAACAGGGGGAAGACCTGGAGGATGCCCTAGTTTCTGCCGATCTAGTATGCTTGAACGACGGAAAGGTTACCCG